CTGAAGGGGTTAAGTGAGCGCCCTGTGGAGTTGTTTTCATAGGGGAGGGGAGGGAGGGAAACAAATCCTGGAGAGGGGGTGGGGAGCCCCGGGGTTCCCCCCTCCCCCAGGAGAAGGGGTGGGGGTAGCCGGGCCGGGCCTGAATGGGGGGGAGGGATGGGGGCACGGTGGGGAGGACTGGAATTGGAGATGGGTCCCGGTGAAGTTAAGTCCCCCCCCCACACATCATCCTGGCTCTCAGGGCCTGAGGATCTCTGGACAAATAAACGCCATCAGGTTTGATCTTGGTTGGTTTGGGACCCACCTTTTGAGGAGCCCCCCCCCCCCCGGGGCAGCAGCATCTACTTCTTCCTTTATCTCCTCCTCTGTTCTTCAGTCCCAACCCGCTGAGCCTTTGCTCAGAGTCCCATCCCTACACCTAGAAGTCGCCTCATCGATGGCCCACGTACAATTTGCACATCCTCTCTCCAGGAGTGTGTTTTGGTCAAGAATAAGCAGAATGGGTTGCCCGATTCTCAAGGCCGGATTGCTTTTTGCGGAGCAGCTTCTTCAGTTGCTCTTAGCCCTCAAACCCTTTATCTAAGCAGCCAGGGGAAATAAGGCCCAATTCCTTTCAGGGTGTTGTTTGGGAATCTCTCCTGCCAAATACCTTCCTGTAATGGTTTGAATGTGAAATCCCCTTCCCCGCCCCCCCCATGCCCCAAAGCTCATGTGTTGAGGGCTTGGTTCCCAGATGGTGGTGCTATTGAGAAGGGACTGGACCCCATGGGCTCTAATTTCATTAATGGATTAATTCATTGACCAATGCATAGCTGAGTAGGATATTCGAAACTGAAGTCTGCCTGGTAGAAGTGGATCACTGGCTACTTGACTTTGAATGGCATATCTTATCCTCAGATTCTCTCTCTTCCTCTTTTACTTCCTCTCCCTCCTCTCCTTCCTCCTCCTCTTCTCCCTCCTCCTCCTACCACCTCTCCCTCTCATTTGGCCTCAATACAATGGAGTCAAGTGACCATGAGTAACCTACAATATTAACATTTTTACCAGTAACATGTTCATGATGACACAGGTAGCCTCTAAGACAAGCGGTTTTCTCTCTATAATCTTCTGCTTTTCTCACTAAGCCCTGGCCACAGTAGTCTTGAAATATGGATACTCCATCTAAGTAACTGGATGCCATCTTGACATCTTGATATTAATTGTAGATGGGGACTTTCTGAAAACACTAGAGATTCAAGAGGACACTCTTTGGATTGCAAAAATATTATTAGTCATAGGGTCCCAGGAAGCTCCCACTTCCCCTAGATAATTGGGGGCCTGATTGTCCCTTATTGTCCCACTGGAGAATTTACTTTGCCTATGTATAACACTTTTGTTAGAATTAAGTATCCCTACCCAGTCACTTGGCCTACGGATAATCACTTTATTAAGAATAAGTATGTTCACTTTGGATAACCAGTTTGTTAAGAGTAAATATTTTCACTTTGCTTTATTAGGAATAAGTATGCTCATTTAGCTTGCTTTGTTTTATGTATGACACTTTTGTTGAGATTGTTAAGACTTGGTCTCAACCCCAAGCACGTGTTCTTGTCTTTAAAAGCTATGTGCTAGCTCGGTTCTGGGCTACTGGTCTTTGAGACAGGAGTCCACCATGCAGTCGCTAGCCTTTT